CCAACACGCAGCTTTAGGGCGGAGCTTAGTGACGTAGCAACACCTTCTTCATCTGAGGCGGGAAGTGTGTGAGGCACAGACGTCAGTGCTGTTTATCTGTAAGATCCATATACTGACTAGGTGGATTGTGATTTTATATGAGATATTATTCTAATAGCCGAATAATTGTGCTGCGTTGAGGCGCTTTAACACAAAAATAAAGTCAACAGCTTCTGGCCCAAACTTTCGCTTTTTTCTTCGATTTCCAAGAGATTCAAGGTAATTTTCTTTTATTTTTACACCTATTTATTTTATTCGTCAATGTATATATACTGGAGTGGTGTCTTCTATAAAAATATGCTTATAAAATCCTGGTATCTTGTGTGGGACTCATCACACGGATTATATTCTCTATTTACACATCCTATATACGTACATTGTGGTGACATTAAAAATTTGTCCATGGTAATTATCAGCGTGGGTCACAGATGACACTTATTGTAAACTATTACCTCAGCAGCCTACCTAGTGCAGTATATTTGGCTCATCTTATATCTTCCCTATATAATATATTGGCGAATTGGAAATAGCATTACATCTATTTATCACAAACAAAAATGCGTTACTTAACATACTTGAAGCTATAAGAGGATGATTGTAGGAATACAATGCTTTATAAAATTAGAGAAGGCGGTGGGGAGATAAAAAATATTCGGAGTTGAAGGTAAAACATCACGGGGGTACACGGCGGTCTCTTAAAAATACTGTATATTTACATTTCCGTCGGAATCGGTTATTATGACATTTAAATATTTGTTTTCTTTATTATCTCATCTTAATTTACATAAATTGTATTTCAGAGACATTTTCTATTCATATATAGCTAGTTTGAACAAACGGGATCACTTTCGATGCCTACCCACACCCGAGTACCTGTGAACTTTGTGGACGTGTCATGTCATCCCTCATAACCTTCTTGTTGAACTTGTTTCTACTAACCTCGCTACAGGTCCTACCAACCTTACCTGTAATTTATTATATCTACTTAAACTTTTTTGATAACTTGGTGTATAGACACAACTGAAAACAAGGATTCCCCCAATAGTGCCCTCATTAACTCTCCATTTATTCAGTGTCATTTTCAAGCATTTTTTACACACTTCAGTGAAATCGGGAAAGCTCTCATGTGCTACATCCTGCCAGATCCTAAAGTTTTCTTCAGTTGAGTATTGTGATCTACTCATCTGAACTATTTCACCTCATTTGGATGTTTCCCATCTTGGCTATCGTCTGTTTTCAGCAACTCAACCTAACCTAACCTAAACTAACCTAACTTAATCGTCCAAGAGGGATGTCACCATCTTCAGCATCTTGGGTTCGTCCAGGAAGTTAGTCTAAATCATATACATTCTTAGTCACTTAGCTGACATCTGAAAAGCATGTGGTCAGTTTATAAACTATATTTGTACTCCATTTCTATACCCTGTGTGTTTATACTCTATAATCATAAACTTGAGTGGTTATTTAGTTGAATTATCCGGCGAAGACTTGATTACTATTGACTACATAAAAAAAACAGGCTCTTACGACTGCAAACAAGCGAGAGAACAGGGCAAAAGGAATGTTCTCACTCTGTCATGATTATTTAAAGAATGGATCCACAGGAAGTGACTACAGCCAGCTTGTAAGTGCCAACTTCTCAAATATTTAAAAAAGACTAACAAATTACAACTGAAAATACGCTGATGGAGAGGTTTGCCCAACCAGCTGAGAACTAGATTAAAGGGACAGACTGTACAGAAAGCCAGTCGCTACGTTCGGTATTTTTCTCTCTCTCTCTCTCTCTCTTGTACACGCCATCCATCCATCGCCACTACACGACAATAGCTTCAGGGTCGAACGCCAAACACCACACTCCTCCTCTTTCTTTCAGCACCACTCAAGACCATTATTGTTTTTTTATGTTTCTTACATATGCATTAGCTGGAAGTCCTTGTTATAGTTCTTTAACCTAGTAATCATCATGACCTTCTACAAGCCTCCTCTGTTGTGTTACTGATTGCTGTGTTTTATTTTTTGGTGGGGTATTGTTCAACACTGCATCCCTGCTGTAGCGTTTTTTCTGCTGCCTCTCTCAGGTGTACTGTATTTGAGAGGTCAGGTGGATGATTGGCCGTCCTGTTACCCTCCTGACTATTGCTCTCGGGAGGTTGTCGTCACGGAGGTATCTGGCCTCACGCCTCGTTATTCCTGAGAGGAGCCGGCCGTCCTCCACCCTGCTGGGGAACTGTCCATCTTCTGCTGTTTATCAGGACAGGGACGCCACATTAGCGCCAGACACCCCAGCCTCTGGCGGCTGATACCACCCACCGCCGCTCTGGCCTCATCCCTACTAATGGCCCGTCCTCGTTATGGCCAAGATGCTTTAATGGAGTTCATGATGCCATGGCCAGGGTAGCGTGTATGGGCTCACTATGCTGTGGCCAGAGTAGCATGTATAGCGCCATGATGCTGTGGCCAGAGTAGCATGTATAGGGCCATCATGCTGTGGCTACTGTAGCATGTATAGGGCCATGATGCTGTGGCCAGAGTAGCATGTATCCCATAATATGTGGCCAGGATTCTTTGATGGACACAGTATGGTATGGCCAGGACGCCTTTATGGACTCACGTTGTGTTGTGGTGAGGATGACCGTGTGGCTCTGCGTCTCCTGTCATAACCCCACCACCAACAACACCTCCACCGTCCTTCTTGCCGTCTCCACGTGTCCTCATACACAGCTGCTTGTAACGATAAAATAATGATAAAGATGACGATAATAATTTTCACCTCGAATAAATACTAGATTTGGTAAATAGGACAAAATTCGTAGGCCACATTTGAGGGTCGGAAACACATCCTTGGTTTCCACACATCTACACCAGAGAGTAGACTAAATCTTCCCCAAATAAGCATTTATTCTTTTATTCTTATAACTGAAACTGATTCACGAAGACTCATAGTACTGATTTCCTCTTGTTAGTTCTGTTTAGAAATTATTTTATAATTTATGTCCCTAAGAACTACTGAATCCATCCTGACACATCTGGACACATTAAGGCTAACCTGAACCCATCGCAACCTATCTAAACGTATCACAGTTAATCTGATACTATTGTGGTGTTTCTATAAACACCTTATTCCGTCCCAGCACGTTTAAGGCCTCTACGGCTCCTCTCAAACCTTATAAACTAGAAGAGACACCCATCAGCCCAGGCTAGGTACTCACATGACAAATACAACATGATCACAAACTCTTACTTTAGGTGCAGCTCCGTAACACATGTGGGGACGGTGGTGAGCCTCTTCCTAGGTGACTGTGTTGGTGTACAATATTGTAAACCGATTTGTCCGGACATTCCTTAAGCTAGTAACAAGTAATATCCTCGAATTTCTCACTATTAATTAATTTCTCCAGTGAATCAGTGTGTAGGACTCTGTCCCTGGTATTTATTACTGAAATGATTTAATTGACTAACGAACATGAAAGCTTCTTAGAGGGCAGTAAAACACGGCTGTCCTTACAAGCACAGGAAGTCACGCACCACACGTACGTACACACACGCATACAGGCAACACTCTCACTCAAGGAAATGTAATTTTGATAACGGAAAATATGTCCAAAGCTGGAAGGATAACCATATAATGTTGTATGTAGTCTCAAAGACGTTTATCGTGACGCTACCTTCATCTACAGATCTGGAATACAGAGTAAAATTCGGATTACAAAACTGGAATATTTATATATAAATAATAGAAACGTAAATATTAAATGAGCTTTACAACACACTGATTTAGTAAGCACTGAAAAAACATTACAAAAATAAGAAAAAATATTCTTCTAAATCGAGCAAAATTAACAACATTGGAGGACCAGTAACCAAGCATACGATACCTTCTGTACCACGAGAGTTTTATCTCTCCTAGCTTTTAATTGTTGATGGACTTGGGTTATTAACCTTACAATACGCTTAGGGGCCTTAGTTTTTGAAGGACAATAATAACATTATAACGTCAACCCTCGGTTGTCCACGAGTGGTGGCCCCGAGGTAAATACCATTAGCGAGTAACAAGATTATGAAAGGCGCTAACTTCAAGAGATCATGCGTTACCTTTCACATAAAGAGATTTAAAAAAAATACACACAGTGCCATTCTATACATTCACAAAATACTACAATGCTATCAGTAGAATCATACTACCCACGAAATTCACTTGACGTCTTCAGGTGTCAGACGGTAACCATGAAACTCATAATCTAACGTGAAAACCAAAGACACAATAAAGGTCGGAAGAATTTAACAAGGAACAGACCAACCACCCGGACGGCTAGTAAGATAATAAGTGGCGGAAATTATATAAGAAAAAACTAACATCGTTAAGCAAATTTATTATATTTTTCTCATGTGACTAAATTTTAATCCATTGATGACTACCAATTATAATCTTTGTAAAAGTCATGGACCAGGTGTGACACAACGTGAAGAATACTATTATTATCGGATCAGGACGTAACACTTAATAAGATTAAGATTTGAATCTTTAATGGATTTTGAAGTAATTTTCCAGTAATGATAACTAGTGGGAACACAATACAGCAATTATCTATGTCTTTACCGCTCTATAGCTCTCAAGTGGAATTATGACGCAAAACAGTTCATAACTAATAAAAACATAACATATAAGCTACAAAATTTAGTCCCCCATTAAACGATTATAGAAAATATGTCTAAGTGTAGCGGGTGGGGAGGTTAGTAGCTGTGCGAGGTGGGTCGGTAGGTAACGCTGAGGAGTCACACCGCCCCGGTAATCATCTGAATCTCCTTACTTGGATCACCGCCACCATGTTCTGGTCTAATGGTCCTCACGCACTGTACAGTCACGGATATATTCACTCACATTTCTCCATTTCTCATCTTGATTAATCACGGACGCACACGATGAACCACCTATCCTCCACTTCCCCTGCTCGATTACAAAAATGGTCTCCACGTCACACCATATGGCACACAACAAGATTGTGAAATACCTGCAGACAGTCACTCAACTCGTGCAAATTTTCACCTTGTCTTGTGACCCAGGTTCTCCAAAGGTTATTGGATTTGACATATTGATACCTATTACTCTTGACCATTCTTCTCCTGAATTATATTGTGATTTATCGGCTCCGCACATGTTTATCACTTACCTATGAGTGATTCATGCTGCTCACACTTTCACCCCATAGTCCTTGACACTGTTCTCTCTCCTTTCTAGGGATCAGGATGGTGATGGTCTCATGTAGTGTATATACTGAAGCTGGATATTTACCTACAGTACATGTATCATGTATATCCATAAACATAATTTATATATCAGATTTCCTTGCTTTAGTATATAGTGTACTGCAAAGTATACTCTGCTAAGACTGTATGTATGAAAAATACTTCAACATTAAAATCTCCTTCACACACATTATATATATATATATATATATATATATATATATATATATATATATACATATCATGTTCAGCAATGATAACACGCATCGATAATTTCATTTTCATTATATCTGAAATAATAATCTTGGGCAAAAAGGACATAAAGGAAGTCACGTCCTAAGACACAAAACCAACTGGTGCGATAACTCAACCCTTAATTACTACTCATATTGCTACGACTGATACTGCTATTAATATGTATATATATATATATATATATAAATTGTATATATATATATATATATATAAATTGCGCATCTGTGTGTGTATTTTGGAAGAAAGGGAAGAGAGTAACTAACAGGATAGAAACAGGCAGTTCACAAAACTAACGTGACGTACAAACGTACAAATATAAGAGTTCACAAACAAACAAAATAATTTAGACCGTCTCCTGCAGAGTGTAACCCTGTGTTAACCATCTGCAGGCTGCACGTACCTCTGTATTGCACAGCTCCTACAGGATTTACCTGTGATGCGCAGTCCCTTCAGGATAGCTGTGTTGCACGGGTGTGTTGAGGTGGGGGGCGACAGCAAGGACACCTAGTTAGAACCTAATCCAATGGTTGGTGACAAACGCGCCTCGTTGAGACCAAAACTGTTATTATTCACGCTATGCTGACTCCCGATGGCTCAAATATCCGGCCCCTGCCAATACGGGTTTGTCATTCACCTGGGAGCGTTATATCCCTTTCTCCCGCGCTCCCTCCACCTTCTCTGTCTCGCTCTCTCTCTCTCTCTGCCTTTCTTTGTTCTTCTAATTTGTATTTAAGTCTCTGTTTATTTTTCATATCTTTCTCTTACTGTCCCTGATCGTTTCTCTGTCTCATTTACTGTTTTGTTTGAATATATTTTCCTTTGCATCTAGTTTGTCTCTCTCTCTCTCTCTCTCTCTCTCTCTCTCTCTCTCTCTAATTCTATACTTTTTTACATAACAAATTTCTTCCCCCTGATAACGACCCAGATAATGAAAGCTACAAAAACAAGTGATCGGTGGGCTGTAGTGTAGAAGTCAGGGAGTTATAAAAAAAAAGATAAATAAATAAATAAATAAAAAGTGAACTATAATTATATTTGTCGGGCAGGAGAGTACAGTTGTCAACATTCTTTTTTATTTCCATTAAATCGTAGCTGGTGTGTAATAATTGTAACATGATACTGCTAACCCTCATAGATCGCTTAAGCTCGAGTGTTCCCATATATCACAGTGTAAATACGACCTTGTGTGTCACCTCCTTTGTGTCTGTGTTCCTCTGGCTGTCGCGTATTCTCATATTACCTTCAGTTTGTCTTTTATTCTGTTCATTTGAGGTGTTTTTTGTGTTCTCTCTCTCTCTCTCTCTCTCTCTCTCTCTCTCTCTCTCTCTCTCTCTCTCTCTCTCTTTTACTGTACGTGGTGCAGATCAATGCGTAAGTGTGACGCATGGTACGCCATTTTTATACGCACGTACAAGTCCGGATATTAATTTTGGCGACAAACTATACTTGGTGGACTGCGGTGGTTGTGGTTTTTGGTGGTGGTAGAGGTAGTGGTAGGGGTAGTGCTGGTGGTAGTTGTAGTTGTGATGGTTGGTGGTAGTGATGTTGATAGTGGTATTAATAGTAATGATGGTAGTGGTGGTGGTAGTGGTAGTAGTGGTGGTTGGTGGTAGTAATAGTGATATTGGTAGTGGTGGTGGTTAATGGTGGTTGGTGGTCATGATGGTGGTAGCGGTAATAGTAGTAATGATAGTAGTGGTAGTAGTGGTGGTTGGTAGTTATGATTGTGGTAATATATAAACGTCTGAGTGGTATTGGTAGTGGTGGTTGGTAGCAGTGGTGGTGGTATAGTTGGTAGTGCTAGTGATAATGGCGGTAAAGGTAGTGGTAATAGTAGAGGTGGTTGCTATAATGCCTGTGTGATTGGTAGTAGCCGTAGTTGTGGTTGATATAAAAGCTTGTGTGACTGGTATTAGTGGTGGTGATAGTAGAAACAGTGGTGTTAGTAGTAGTAGTAGTAGTAGTAGTAGTGTAATAGTAGTGGTTGATACAAATGTCGGTCTGCCTGGCATTGGTGGGGGTGATGGTGGTGGTAACTATGATGGTGGTGGTGTTACATCACATTCGGGGAGATGGCGGGCCGTACCTCCAGTATTGTGGGAGACGTCTATTGAGTTGCGATACTGTTGGTGGCGAGACTCTTGTATTGTTGGAGACGCGTTAAGTTGTTGCCAGTGAGACTTGTATTGTTGGAGACGCGTTAAGTTGTTGCCAGTGAGACTTGTATTGTTGGAGACGCGTTAAGTTGTTGGCGGTGAGAATTTTGTAGTTTAGGAGACATCTGTTATCACCGTGGTTAAGGAGGCGAAGAGACAAAAGGAACCAGACAAAATTAGTACAGTCATGTTGGTGAGGATCTGTGCTCACGTCCTGTACCTGAAGAAGGCTGGGTGATAGATGGCTGTGCAGGTCACCCGAGAGAAGGCTGGAGGTGTATACAGGACGTTCTATAGGTAGATCAAATTAAGCCTAATCCCGGTTCGTTGGAATAGTGACCGGAATTTCGAAAGACGTTTTCTGTGTCTGTCGTGGCAATAAAATCAGGAGTGTGGCAGCCTAGTGGATGCAACTCTCGACTCTTGTCTCATGGTATATCCAGTTCAACCATCTGTAAATGTGTACCTATTTTACTGTTGGGGAAGTGAAGGCAATCGAGTGCAGTGACGGCCTTGCTGCCTCCTTGTGTACCGCCGACGTCGTATACAACAGTGCGCTGTATCCACACTGTCCCTTTGGGCAGCCATTCCTATGTGACCATCTTTCACTTTCAACAGTAACTCAGTCTTGGATGGTCTCTGAGTGTACAGTTATATTAACATGAAACAATTTATCTTAGAATGATGATTGTGATGAGGATGATAATGATTGATAATCATAGTAACAAGGTGCGTGTATATGGAGGAGGCTGATGAAAGTATGTGTCTGTTGATATACTGTACGTGTGTATGGGTGTAGACCTGTTGGTAGAGGTGCATGTTTATTTATACGTATGAGTGTGTGTGTGTGTGTGTGTGTGTGTGTGTGTGTGTGTGTGCTCATATCAGTATATAATAACCTAACCAAGACAGTTACAGTTTATCAAAAATAAAACACCCTCACTGTGTACCAGTAGTGGCCACGATCGCCCGTCGCTCTATAACTCACCTGGAGAGCCACCCCCCAGCCCACCCCATTTCCGGATCGTCGAGCCTATACTGCTCCCAGGATGAAAGAGAAACACTACCTGTCGAAAGATTGTCGAACACACGCTAACTTATTTCCTTTTTATTTATTAATTCACCCGTTTATTAATGCATTTTACTTTTATATTTATATATTTTGAGTTAACAATCTTATGGTGTGTTGTTATTGTTGGTAATTTTCCTCCTATAACTTAGATAACTCCGCTTCTCGATAAAAAAACAAAAACTCGCATCGGTTGTGGTCCGCCACATCTCAATACCCTAATCAGTAACTAGGGTTCAACTGGCGCTGTTCTTTTAGCTTATATTAATAATTTATCCCAAATTACAGCGTGTGTCTGATTGTTGAGGTGATATACTGTCTCACGGGTGATCCTGGGTGATGTATGAGCCCTGCACGTTGTATTATGGGCAGTTCCTGGACACCGCTCTTGGTGCTTTGTGTCACCTTCCATTTGTTGAATTACACCTACTCTCAGCAGCATTAACCTAGTGATAAATAAATTCTCAACCTGTGTTTTTTGTCTACAACAGAAAATTTCTCAAAAAAATACAAATTTATATCTGCTACAGCATGTCTCTATCTTTTTAGATACAAAAATACGTTAAGTTGGGAATTTATGGAACTTCATGACAATATAATATTATTCATACTTACTTTATATATATATATATATATATATATATATATATATATATATATATATATATATATATATATATATATATATATATATATATATATCCAGTCCAACCATCTGTAAACGTATACCAAATTGTAATGCTACCAGCTCTACTTTCAGTTTAACATGTACAGTATTTTTATTATTTTCGACAGATAATTGAACTCTTTTACATATATAAACAATATATAAATTAATAGTAATAGTTAAATAAGGGCATTAAAACGATTATCTTTGCTTTTAGTGTGAACATAATACTCCCACCTTCACCCATCCGCGTGACCTCTCTCTCAACACAATCATAATAGCATCTTTCACTACTAACCATATCCCCTTCCTTCCAGACGGGTCAGGAAGCCACCTCAACCTCTTCAGCAACAAACAGCCGCCCAAGAAGAAGCGGAAGAGCAGGACGGCCTTCACCAACCACCAGATCTTCGAGTTAGAGAAGCGCTTCCTCTACCAGAAGTACCTCTCCCCCGCCGACAGAGACGAGGTGGCCCAGACACTAGGGCTAAGCAACGCGCAGGTGGGTTACGAGCAGGACGGTAGGGCGTGTTAGTAGGTAGTTTACGAGAGGAGGTGCTCATGTACACGGAGGACAGTCTCTAAAACACGTTCGTTAACTTATGAGAACGACGTTAAAACACGTAGTTTGGTTATCACGAGCAATAAATATTTTTGTCTTAATATTAAACTTGAGGTTTGATGATTGGTTTAGAGAGCAATGAAGGCGAGCGAATGAGTCAATGATATTACACATTCTTTGTTTCCTACGACGTATTATTGTACATTACAGAACAGCCCTGAAACTAACACACGTATACATAAGAAAACAAATGAATAAATCTGTGGTTTAATACATAACTACTCAAGAGACATTAAGAGTTGGTTGTCAGCTGAGTGTAGGCCTAGTTGGCGCCTTGGTAATCTCCTACCTGTGGGAGGAAGGGGGTGGGACTAGGGTTGAGTGGAGGGTATAGGGTGGTGGGGAGCAGGAAGGGGTTGCGTGGATGGGGAGCGATGGGAGCAGAGATGGGTTCTGGGGGAGGAGTTGTAGTGCGGGACAAAGGGTGAAGAGGAAGGGTTGGAGGAGGGATAAAGGCTAAAAGAAAAGGGGTGGGAGGATGTCGGGAGAAAAGTTATTTCGGTGGGTCGGTCAGTCACGCAATAAAAAGACGTTCCATTGGCGCAGATAAACGCTTCCATGGCTTATAGAGTTAAGGACGGTTGGCGACTGAAAATGGTTTTAGGAGTTTTTCCCTCTAACACCTAAACTAAGGACCAACAAGGGCAGATCACTGTCATCCTTCAATAGTAACTTTCAGTGTTCCTTAAAATTTTAGAGGATCTGTTAGGTTTCGGACCCCCAGGCCTCCGTGCCATACCAGAGAAGTGGACGACATAAACAATATTAGTTATTAAGATTTCTCCATGAAGAAATTGAGGGATCTTATATCCCTGAGTTTCGAAATTCCCTTTACAACATCCATAGATAAGAAGGCCATCCTCCCTCACCCATCCCTTTGAAATATAATGAGAAACACATGTAAAGCAGCCGGCCTAGTCCTACAGTTTGGGCTAGAACACAACAAAGATGTTACAGTGATGACTCTCTTCGGAATATTTCTCACGGTCGCCCACCACCCCAGACGTGATATTTCTATCGTATCTTGGAGCATGTAAAGCAAATATGATCTCTCGCTTTTCCTTCTATATGTCTCTCTGTGTATATGGCTGTCTCTGCAGACCACTTGTTTAAGTTTCTCTCTCTCCTTTTATCTCTATACACTGGCCTCCGTCAATATTCAAAACAAGATAAGCTTGTCGCAAATACAAGAAAGGATGATTGTGACAGCTATAATGAACACAAACATCATTGAAACTGTAAATGAATATTATTCGTATTAACCGTACCTAACTGTACATTAAATAATTTAGAGGAAATAGGTTATATATATAAAAAGTGAACGTTATGTGAAATAAATTAGTTTCACCATAAATGCATTATTTTCAGAAAGTTGCAGCAATGCAGAAAAACAAAATATTGTATCTCTATGTAGCAAAATAGTTCGTTGCGTCCTGCGTCTTATTCTGACCATTATCCTAAAACGCCCGGCAAAGTCACCCGACTAACAAGGCAGACTAACACAATCGTTTCTCTCTGTTTTTCCGCCCTGTAAAACATAAAATACGTCACCCGTCTTATTTTGGGAGGATTTATATCCTGCTTAAGTAGGAGAGGAGTTCACAGTCTCGTGTTATTTGTCCTCATCCATCTAGAGAGCGACCCGGCATTATCGCACCACCAAGTGTAAATACATATTATTACGGCTTCTCCCTGCTATGATACCTGGGTCTCCGAGGTTGTTCTTGTGAGTGATACGCATTTTCACTTTGACCTCTGTCCTGGAAAATTTTCCTTCGTCATATTTCGATTTACTTTTTTTTACTCCATCTTTAAAAAGTCATGGTTGTATAAAGTCTGATATCCTAATCTTAAGACCTTGACGTAAATTTTCCTCAGTTTCATAAATAATATTATCACCTCAATATGGTCTAATTAGGTGATATAAGCCCAGGTAATGATAGGCTCTTACCTCTCTCCCTGTCTTCTAAGTTCTCTCCCATCCTCTTCCTTTCCTCAGTCGCTCCCCCACTACCATTCGACTTCTCTTTACTCCTCCACCCTCCTCCTTCTCCATCTACTTCAACAGGCCGAGGAGGATAGTGTGTATAACGTGGACACAATCCTCCATACAGCCTGTGTGTTTGTCGACCCACCGACACGAGGAAACAACCACTATCTGGCAACCACTGAACATGACAAGTGAGGAGTGAACAGCCAGCGTCCCACTACCCCTCTCCCCTGCCACTAAACCTCCCCCTGCCACTACCCCATCCCCCGCCACTACCCCATCCCCCGCCACACACCACCCCCTGCCACTACACCATCCCCCGCCACTACACCACCCTGCCACTACCCCTCTCCCCGCCACTAAACCTCCCCTGCCACTACTCCCATCCCCTGCCACTACCCCATCCCCTGCCACTACACCACCCCTGCCACTCACCCTCCCCCTGCCACTAAACCTCCCCTGCCACTAACCCCATCCCCCTGCCACTACTACCCACCCCCCTGCCAACTACACCATCCCCCACTACACCATCCTCTGCCACTACCATCCCCCACCCCCCTGCCACTACCCACCCCCCAAACTACACCCCTGCCTCAACCTGCCATACACCACCCCTGCCACACTCCCCACTCCTGCCACTACCCCACCCCTGCCACTAACATCCCCCTGCAATCCACTCTAACCACCTCTGCCACACCATCCATGCCACTACCCCACCCCTACCACACCACCCCTGCCAACAACCCATACACTGCACCCCCACCACTACACCATCCCCTGCCACTACACCATCCACCACTCCCCTGCCCAACCCATACCCCTGCCACAAACCCACCCCCTGCCACTACTCCCCCCCCTGCCACCCCCACTGCACAATCCCCTGCCACCACCCATCCCTACCACACTCACACCATCCCCTGCCACTACACCACCCCCTGCCACTGCCACTACACCACCCTGCCACCTACACCACTCCTGCCACTACTCACCCATCCCCTGCCAATACTACCACCCCTGCAAATACACTTCCACACCAGAACCATCCCTCTGCCACTACACTATCACCTGCCACTACCCCACCCCTTCTGCCACACTACACCATCCCCTGCCACTCACAGACCATCCCCCTGACTGACACTCACCCCCAAGGCATCATCATCCCCTGCCACACCACACCTCTCACCACCCATCCCCCAGTCACCACATCACCTCTGTCACACCATCCTCTGCCACTACACCATCCCCCTGCCACTAAAACCACATCCCCTGCCACTACACCATCCCTGTCACTACACCACTGTCACTACACCATCCCCTGCCACCATCTACACCGTCACCATCCCCTACATCATCCCTGCCACCACATCCCCCTCTGCCACTACACCATCCTGTCCACTCACATCCCCCTGCCACTACCCTGTCACTACACCACTCACACTCACACCCCCACTGCACCCATCCCCTGCCACTACACCCCCATCCCCCCGCCACCACTCTGCCACTACCCCCACTGCCACTCCCCTGCCACTAAACCTCCCCTGCCTCACACCATCCCCTGCCACTACACCATCCTGCCACTACACCACACCCCTGCCACTCCCCTGCACACCACCCCTGCCACTACACCACCCCCTGCCACACTACACCACATCCCCCTGCCACCACACCATCCCCTGCCACTACATCACCCCTTTCTGCCATTACATCCCCTGTCACTACATCATCCTCTGTCACTACATTCATCCTCTGCCACTACACCATCCCCTGCCACTAAACCATCCCCTGCCACTACACCATCCCCCTGCCACTACACCTCATTATCCCCTGCACTACACCACCCCTGCCACTACACTATCCCCTGCCACTACCACTACACCCCACTACACCATCCCCCTGCCATACCATCCCCTACCACTACACCATCCCTGCCACTTACACCACCCCCCACACTACACTATCCCCACTACACCACCCCCTGCCACTACACCATCGCCTGCCACTACACCACCGCGCCACTCACCATCCCCACCACTACACCATCCCCTGCCACTACACCACCCCTGCCACCCCCCCTGCCACTACACCTCACCCCCCTGCCACTACACCATCGCCTGCCACTGCACACCATATCCACTGCCACTACACCACCCCCTGCCACTACACCATCCACTGCCACTACACCATCGCCTTGCCACCACACCACCCCCCTGCCACTACACCATCCCCTACCACTACACCATCCCCCACACTGCCACCCTCTGCCACTATCACCACTACACCACCCCCCCCCCTGCCCACTACACCATCCCCTGTCACTACACCATCGCCTGCCACTACACTACCCCCGCCACTACACCATCCCCGCCACTACACCATCCCCTACCACTACACCATCCTCTGCCACTACACCATCCCCCGCCACTACCCCATCGCCAATATTTTCTTAGTCCATTAGTTACACTTCATACATAAACACGATACATCTAGTGCACCTGTACGTTATCAGGGCACACTTAGTACATGTTTTACATTGGAGGAATAAAGTTTACGTGATACTAAAATATCTGGTTTCCAAGTAAATTTTCTCATTTGAGGTGAAGATGTACCGGACAGTTTTATGTTTAATGATGAAAAGAATATTTTGAACTATTGAGGACACATTTGTATAGATCTTATGGCCATGATAGATAACCCAGGTTTCATATTTATATAAAGACACCCTGAACGTGTTTGAGCTGATTCTTTTTGGGAATTTTTTTTTAATTTCTTTACAAAAATAACTTTAATTTCGTCATAATTTTCCTATGTTTTTGTACGACTTTTATTCACTTTTGAGTTAGTGGAAGATCTTATCTTTCATTTTGATGTTATTATATCAATTACCAATAAT